CTCTGTAATATAGGTTCCATACTACAATTAATAAAAGAAATTGGAATTGGTGAAATAATCTAAATCCATGAAGTTTTGAAATACTCTCTACATACACAACAAATTTGTATTAGGTGACTATAGTTAACAATTCTCCACATCTCTAATACTCTTATCAGTACTAAAACTAAGTTATATGGAAAGCGTTGGGAAAATTTAAATAAGTTGTTAAAGATTTACTGTACGGAAAGTATTCTGCTCGTATTTAGAAATTAGCTTCTTCTTCATAATTCTATTGAAAACAAAATTTGATTCGAATTTTTTGAATAGTACTGGCTATTTATTTTTCGTGCTCAATTCTCATTTTGTTTAATTTATTAAATTTTTTTTATTTCATTTTATTATTATATAAATATATTAAGAGGTTTTCCAAACAGTAGTGAACTGCAACAACAAAAATTAATTTTATATTATTAAAATTAATTGAATTTTTGGGTGACCATACAGCTGTTTCGAGTATCATCAGTGGTCTTGGAAATAATTCTTTCATTTATATATTTGTAAATAATTTTGTTTTTTTTTGGATTGAACTCGTGCCCTGCCAAATTTGAAGCTCAGAGTCAGCGCTCTTCAACCCAAAACCGTACTTGACTTTTATGTTTGAACATTTTTCTGAAGTTTTTTTACCTTCTTGTCTGTGAAAGTTTTATTAACACTTGCTATGTTTATATTAGAACGTAACCATAAACCAGCTGTAGAATAACTGAATTAATTAATTATATTTTTATTTTTAATTGCTAAATTTCAATACTATAAAAATATAATTTATTTTTCAAATTTAAATATATTAATTTGTTATATCTTCTGTTTTAATATAATAAATGATTTAGTAATTGTTAAATTTGCAGCTCTCAATTTTAAGTTTAAAATTGGGATTGATTTTCAATGTACACTTAAGTATAGTTTAGAGATTAAACTGACTTTTAAGAGACTTACTAGTCTGCTCAATATCGGATATTTGAGATCAAAAGTATACAGCAATCAATTGATCGTCGATCACCACATCTGTTGTTGCTTTTAATTTTTGAATTTACATTGAAAGGAAGACCAAATGTGGTGATCGATGATCATTTGATTGTGTACATAACATAACTCTAAGTGTTACTTAACTTAAGTGTACATTATAAAATCTGAACCTTAAGTCGTGCTTAATTTATTAACTTTGTTGACTTAACTTGTAGTATTGAAATTTAAGTTACGACTGCGAAATCGTTCCTTAATATCCAATAATAATTCGTTACATATTTTATATGGATATGAAGTTCTACTTGTAATCTTCTCAAGCACAGAAACGATCCGATATAAATATTATCACCCAAATTAATGTCAATGAACTTTTTATTAGTTTTACGGGCAAGTATTATTGAGTATTTATTTAAGTAAAATTCATTCTTTTAAATTTTGCATTTGGGTGCAGTTTTGTTACGTGCAGAACTTTTGAATCTTAATGAGTTGATGAAGTTGTGACACAAGTGATCATGATACCGTTCTTTTCTCGAGACTTAAATTTCAATAAATGCGTAAAGAGGGCTAACAAAGAAGATTTTTTTTTGTTTTTTACTCAATCTGATTTTATTTATTTGTTTTGTCTGCTTTGATAATATTATACCTATATATGTATACCATATTATAAACATCCAAAACTGATTCATGTAATAGCACTCATCAATAATCGGAAATTCCACAAAAAATATGTGATAAAAAATAAAGTTAGCAACAATTCACACAAATGCGATTAGAATTTGTTATAAATTATTAATAAGTTTTTAATATTAAATAAAAAACCAATATAGCGAATTTCAAATAAATTTCAAAATGAAATCCAAAGTATAACTACTTTCCGTTTGGAATTTTTGCCGAAACCAGTTCCTCAAAGAAGATATCGAAGACAACACTGAATGCTGAAGACAATAACATTTAACTATGCAAAAACTCCCGATTCTTTGGTATTTGCGTTTGAAATTTTGTTATACATTTGGATAAAACCGAATTTGTCAATAATGTCAATAATTTAATGGATAAACAAAATTAATATGCAAAAATTATTTTGCCGCTATTTTACGTATTTTGCGTATTTTCTAAAATTTATACCCTTTTTGTGTTTATGTCTGTAAAATAATTCGAAAAAAATTTTATAGTTCCTTTTAGTTCTCAATTAGCATCAAATCGTTAAAAAATATTTCTTTTCACTAATTTTTTGTTTACGGCGCCTAATAATTTATTCTAAATTAAAATATCACTGTCATGATATCAAATTAGTACATATTTCTACGTCAAACGTGTTGAACGTTGCTTTTTGCTTTCCAAAACAATAAAATACTTCGCAAAACACGGATATTATACTATTTATCACAGTATTGAACTATTAGGAACATTCTTCAAGATATTGAACTGAGCTAATATTATGACTTCAAAAAGTTAATGCTAATTAATTAAATATAAAAACAACAAGTTTTTATCTGAAATAACCCTTTGCAGAGTCTATGGTTTTAATGGCATAAATGTAAATATTATGAGTCACTTACTGCGTTCGAAACGTTTAACTTATAGCATCTTTTCCCTTTTAATTTGTAACGAACCCTTTTTCGTTGAGGCTTAGCTCGCTGGATCCCAGGTTCAGTCCTACAATAAATTTATTGGTATGGCACAGTGGAAACTTCAGACGAAGTATGAGAAAACTAAGAATGCCTTAAACTCAACAAAGCTAGTTCGATGGAAAGTTAAATTCTATCATAAGCTGTCTAACCCTAAACAATGGATCTGAATTTTTTTTGTTGAAATGATATGGAATACAAATGTTATAAAATACAAATGAAAGTAATTAACAACAAGGACTTAGAGAAAATAAAGCACTGATAAGATTTCCTTAAATTCTCAAAATGTGATTTAAGGTTGTTAACGGGTTTCTTTACAGGTCATTATGGTCTGAAATAACAACTTCATAAACTACGATTATCTGCTAAGTCGGAATGCAAATTATACCTCGAAGGTGAGGAAACTACCATGCATATTCTTTGTAATTGTCCAAATTTAATAACGCACAGAAGAAACTTGTTTTATATGAAACTTCTGTCACCAGAATAGATTAAGAACTCTTCTCTAGATTTGGTTCTGGACTTTATGCACGAAGCTTTAAGGGGATTTGTGTAATCAATAGTGAAACTTGTACAATAAGACTCTTCTGGCCGCAATACCAACTGTTGGGCGATTTCACGTCTGAACTTTTAATAATAATAATAATTAAGAACCCATTATATTTGATAACTTATTATTACTTACAAAATATTAAGAGCTCCATTTACAGCTATTCTCACTCTTTTATATAAAGTTCACAGTCAGCTGGTATACGTGGGTATATAAATTTCAGCAGTTTAAAAAGCATTTAGAAATTTTTAAGAACACACTTAGTCCCAATTTCAACTGCATGAAAACCATATTATTGAGAAGAAATGTAAGATTTCTATATATAGAACTACCTACGTCAAAATGTACTCCTCAGTTGCCAATGATCAAATGTATACTCTCAAGTGCGGGGAGTAAACGCTTCAATCGATGTTTAAATACAGGACACGATCCAAGAAAACTGGCAACCGAGATCCCAGAAATGATAATAAGACCGAGTTAAAAGGTAAGATATCTATATCTGTATCCAGAACATTCCACGTCAAAACATTTGTTTTTCTATAAAAAATATTATAGGTTTTTATTAAATATAATATATTAAAAATATATTTATTTGTTTCATTTTATTTCATATATTAATTAACAATATATTAAGATGTTGTTAAATAGATTTGTTTATCAAGAAAGCGTTAAGAGTTACATACTCAAATATTATTAATATAATTAATAGCATTAATATTAATATTAATTATTTATATATTTGGATTTAAAATAAAATATTAATAATCTTAATCAAAATGTTAATAAATAAAACTTAATTTAAAACTTAATCTTAATTAAGCCTCGCTAGGGTATTATGGTTATATTCAGTAATTCTTTAAACTTTTTTTGAGATTAACTTTTTTACGATTAAGCACCTCCAGATTATTAATATTCTGATATTCTAAAACTTAGCATGGAATATTTAAATTTTTATAATACTCTTTAATTTTTTTGCTATTAACTCTATAATTAAGCGTTCCTAGAGTATTAATATGCTGATATTCACAAATTTAGCATCCAATATTTAAATCTTCGGTATTACTCTTTAATTTTTTTAAGATTAACTCTACGATTAGGCAACCCTAGGTTA